CAAAGGATTGTGTGTGGATGTGTGTGTCTATATATATATATACACGCTATATATAAAGTCTGCTCTCTGAAAACAAGTGATACAAGATACTTGCGTCGGCCAACTGCTCTTTGCAAGTGGTAGACAAAGGAGTTACAGGAGACCCCATTCTTCAAAGTCTAGGTTACATCCATGATATATGACTAAACATTATACTAACACATAGTTACTTACCTTGAGTTTTGAGGAGAGGCTTCTTTATCTCGCGTGAACACTCTCGGCAATGGATGTTAACTTTGAAAACAGCGGTGATCACTTCGACTTCATCTTCCTTCTTCTCCTTCTTCTCCTCTTTCTTCTCCTTCTTCTCCTCTTTCTTCTCCTTTTTCTCTTCTTTCTTCTCCTTTTTCTCCTCCTTATTCTCCTTTTTCTCCTCCTCCTCCTCCTTGTTCTCGTCCTTCTTCTCCTTTTTCTCCTCCTTCTTCTCCTTTTTCCCAGTCATTTTAGCAACCGGTTCACAGCTCCTTAATTAAGCAGTAATTCTGCTTTATAATCGAAGATGGATCATCGATGATCCAAGATGAAACAACAGACGAAGCAGGAGAGGAAAAAAATGGAGACAGAGAGGAGCAAATTAATACATAACAAAGAGAAATGAAATCTCTAGAGGAAAGGAAACGTGTTGGTGGGATTTGCTAAGGGTTGCTCACCACCTGCTTGAAACTTTCAATATAAGCACACATTTATCATAACTATATTTATCAAGGTTTGAATTATATATAAGGATCTCACCAAACTGATTATCAAAAAAAAAAAAATCTCACCAAATCTTCAATTTGCAGAAACATTTAATACTTGAATTAATTAATATTCAATGAGGTACACCATTTTTTATTTCAACCATTTCACACCCCTTTCAAAATGTGAACAAATAATAACTTCAAATAAATAAAAAATAAAATATTTGAGTTCATAGCAAGTTATTAGTAAGGTTGCGGGGATTAGCTGCTGCGGCGGCAGCGGCAGCAGCAGTAGCGGTGGCAACAGAGGCATTGGGTGGCTGATTCTGATCAGAAGTATGCTTTTCTATCTCCTTCTGCGCCCTCTTGGCGGCTTTTGCCATATGCAGCTCCATCTCCGCTTCGGCCTCCTTCGCCTTCCTCACCTCATGTGCCACCTCCGCCCTTGCTTTTGCTAGATCTTTCTCCACCTATACAAATTAATTATCATGATGCATGCGATTAAAATTGTAGAACAAAAAATATATATTAACAGAAAATGCTTTCAGCACCTTCTCCTCCTCCCTTGCATGGGCCTTGGCGTTATGGGAGGCATTCATGTCCTGTAACTTCTCCTTTAAGGCCTGCATATTTTCGTTTTTATTCGGACAGTTGTAGTTCATTTTGTTTGACGCATGGTAGAATATATAGAAATAGAGCAAGACAACATGCGTACCATGCGGCAAATGTCCAGATAGTTTCTGTGGTTGCTCTAAAATCATGCACCAAGGTCAATGATCTAACAAACAGGAATTAACGATTTAATTACTGATATTAATACCAGCCCCTCAGCTCCTATTCTTATGTTTCCCACAATTTATTAGCGAGTCATAGCTACAACACTACACAGCAAAACCAAACAGATTGATAACCTGCTTATTTTTATTATTTGAATATCGAGGCTTCAAGAGTCCAATGTTTATCAATCAGTTAAGAATATCATATCTACAGCATTCCAGAGAAAGTACAGCAGAAAATGGTTCCTGGTTTGTCAAAGGACATGACACAAGTTCTAGCTTCCACGATAGGTGGAGAATGAGAATGGCGAAACGAGCAGAGGAACATGAAAATGTTCCCACTTTTGTGATTCTCTGATTTCATATACAATTGAGACATACGGGAAGAAGCCAGCCAGGTAGTACTTGCCCGTGTTGAAACTTATCCTGTATATTCCAGGGGTTAAAGCATCGACCATATTCATAAGCTGACCACTTCGTCCATCCTTGTTTGAGGTTGAGGACCCTTGGAGTACCCAACCACTTGAATCTGTTTTGCCAACTAATGGACGGGGCTAAGTGCCCTTCCACATTTCCAGATTTACCTCGATACCAGCTGCTGGAGACTCCTTAGCAGTGTCCAAGACATGGGTTGTAATGGGTGGACGGTTTTGGGCTGGAACACGAGACGGTTTTCCAGCGACAGCTTCTGAATCAGCAGTTATGCGTGCTCCAATTATGCTTACACGATCTTCTAGATTTTAAGAAGACAAATTGGGGAAGGAAAAATAAAGAGATTAGTAGTAGAGAGGGTAGCAGGGAAGCATTAACTATCAGGGGTTCATGATCAGAGGCTCAAAAATAAGATTTAAGACATAAGTTGGAGAAGAAAACTAAGACCTAGAATTTCACTTTCAAAAGAGTATCCAGAAGCAGTTTAAAAGAGAGGAAATTACAAGAAAAGAACGCCAAAATGAAAAAATACCTCCTGCTTTCTGTGTATCGACTGTTGGATACAGAACTCCTGTTGAAGTGGCTCTTGCTTTAGTAGAAAAGAGATTTGCCAGTCGTAACTCGGTGACTTTCATCTGCCCTGCAGCTGCAATCTCAATCTCAACTATGGGCCTGTTTGAGCATCGTCTCTGAAAGAGCAAAATACAGAAAAGTTTGCTTCAAATTGACAATCTAAAACTTCATACTTCATCTGTACAAAAAAAAAAAATAATAATAAATAATAAAAGAAAGAACTTCATACTTCAAAGGAAGGTTTACTTAACATTAATTCCATTATGACCAAAGAAAAGCAAGTGGAAGATATTGGCTCAAGATGCCACCAGACCTCAAATTCAATATTCAAAAAGGAAAAGTGTTGTGTTTTTATGTAAGCCTGCTCACGGTTGATCTAGATTGTAAACTTCTCAAATGTCAAAAAAATTTCACTATAGGTAAAACGCTGCTAAATATAATAACTATCAATTTTCACCTGATTCAAGAATGATATTAATTGATAAAGGTCACAACTCCAAAATCATGCTCTAAATACAATATTCATGGATTAATAACTAATGCAGGTTGCAACCTCAGAATCATGATCTCAATCAGTATTTAGCTCAGAAATATCCATCATATAAATCATTTCAAGGAGACATAAAATTCATGATTGTGGTGGCTGAGAAAGCAGCATGAATTCAAAACTGTACCTTCAACTCAGCAAGTAATTCAACAGTGCTCCTCCCAGATGCACAAATTATAAAAATATGTCCAAATTTTTGCTTATACCGAGCATTCCATTCAGCTAGTACCTGAGAAGGCCAAGACGATACCATTTTACAGGAAAGCACTAGGCCAAGACGATACCATTTCACAACTGCCTCCTATTAATATATTCTCTATTCTGCAAAAACGAAAAAACAACTACTTCCTAGAAAACACAATAATAAGAATCAAAGAAAAGGGTGGAGGCAGTGAGAGACTTAGCACTGGTGGTGTTAGAAGAAGGGAGGTTTCTGATATGGGGATGAGCCGCAAGCGCTTCCAGCCAGCCGGAAACATGAACCTTTACAATACAATCAATAAAATTTAGTAATTGAATAAATAAAAATTGAACCTTTCATTGGTATAAAGCATGATTAGATATGCAGGGTGAAGGGGGAGAGACCTTGTTAAACCAGATGTCTCTGGCGGCGGCGACAGCATGATCCAAGGACGGAAAAGGAGACTTTAAAACCATTTCCCGGGCAGACTTGGTGCTTCCGCAGCATGCCAGCACTTCTTTCTCATCCAACTCCATATTTCAGCACTCTCCGATCAAGAAAAATGATAGGTTTTTCTCTGTTCCTGTGGAAGATGGCGAGAGCTGACAAAAGGAGTAGTGATAATGATCGGAAAAGTGGTAGACCTAAGTTACTTATATCTGTGATTAATGCCCAACACGCCACGTGTACAGTTTTAACGGCGGATATAAAATTTCATCTGCTAAATATTAGGAAAAGGAAAGACGGGAGCCCTTCTATATCTTTCTCAGTCCGAGAGGCAGAGGAACTTCAACATGGCGTTCTCGTCTCCGGAACAAGACCAGGTCTGTTGTATGGATCTTTTTGGCTTCGCTTTCAAATTATGTATACATATATTCTGTTTGGTTTTTTGAAATTGGAAGTTTCGAATTAGAGCTAAATAGCTGTAGATTTTCTTAAATTGAATTCTGTTCATATGGTTTCTCATGGTTCTTTCTGGGGAAAAAGTGGGGCTTTCTTTGTGGGGGAAAAGGTGGTTTTTTTTTTTTTTTAATTTCTTTATCATTCAGTCCTGAGTTCTTTCATGTGAAGTTTTTGATGTTTTTCCTTCCGAGTTTCTTTGAAATTAAAGAGATTGACATCTAGTACTAGATGAAGCTCTAGGTGAATAAATTGTTCAAGCATTTCTGTCATGCTTTAACTATATTTGCTGTGCCTGGATTGCTTTAATATTTTGGATAATTGGTTTGCAGGTCCTAGTAGAAGAGAAATCCTTAGCAAGAATATTAACCCTAAACAGGCCCAAGCAACTCAATGCACTTTCATTTTCAATGGTATGATATCTCGTTACAGAATGCTTCAAAGTTCCAATCTTTTATTATATTTTGGAGAATTAGCCTTTACTATGTATTACAATGTTGAAAAATTTATAATTCAATGCTTCATGTTTTAGTTTGTGTTAATTATCCTTTATCATATGATATAGCACTACCAGAAGCAAATGTATTCTTCTAGTAAACCTTCTAACTGTATCCTTTATCAGAGCCTGTATTATATGCTTTTAAGATCCTGTTTTTCTTGCGCATTTCAGCATTATCAGCATCACTTTTATCTGTGGGTATGTTTAAGTAGCAAGAACTTTCTTTGAAAGTTCAAACTAAGTATTCCATATGTTGTGTCTTTACTATAGATTTCACGGCTATTGGAATGCTTCCTTGCATATGAGGAGGATCCTAACGTCAAGATTATAATTTTGAAGGTATGTTCCTTTGTGATTTTGAAGCAGCTTTGGTGACTCAAACTTGTCTTCTTAAAATACAAATTATAGTGAATGGCCTAAGGAGGAAGCCTGAATTGATGGCGATCTTGCCCATATTTATTCATTTACCATTTGAAAGCTAATAACATTCGTTTTTTACTGCACTAAATTTTGGTTGTCTTCTTGTCTAATTTTGTTGTATACTTATGTTACAGAATTTTTGTTTGCTGACTTAAGTGATCATGTATTTTAACTAATTCTTTTTATATGATTAATTTTTTTTACTTTTTGATCGGCACCTTTTTCTATGATTAGTTTCTTTGATTGGGTTTAAACCTTCTTGTTCTTGCTTTGTGGAATATGATTTGATAGCAGTCGGTTAT